ACTCAGCAGCTTCCGTGGCGCTTCACCCTTCGGCCTCAGCCCAGGCTCCGGTGGTGCAGCCAGTGCCAGCCTCTCAGCAGGTAAGGTATCCACAGCTGGGAATGCTGTTTCCATGGAGAAGGGCTCTGTTTTGCTGGCAGATGTATTTTAATCCACGTTGGGTTTTTTTATGGTGGGGAGAGAATTTTTTAATCAGCTCATCGAGCCAACCTGTTGCTGGAGTTTGTGTTGATAAAGGCCGTCGATACCTCGCGTGTTTTGGCCCTACCAATCAATCTGCCAGCTTTGAAATGCGGGGGTTAGGTTTTAATTTAGCTGCCCAAGGAAGTTACTTTGATGCCAGCTCGGTGTTTGCTTCAGATTAATATCCTGTTGTCGTTGTTTGGTGTGTCAATAAAAGCAGGAGAAGATGGAACAGCCCTTAAAGGCATCACTGCGAGCGAAGCACTGAGGTCATGGAGAAGGGGTGAGGGGAGAGCTAATGCAGGGAGAGAGGGGGGAGGAACCCCATCCTGCATCCAAAGAGGTGTTTGCATCCCCAGAGGAGTGGCCAGAGGTCAGGGAGGGGATTCTCCCCTTCTAACTCTGCCCTCAGGAGACCCCTGTGTTCAGCCCTGGGGCCCTCAGTGAAAGAAAGACGTGGGAGTGGGTCCAGAGAGGCTGTGGAGATGATCCCAGGGCTGAGCCCCTCTGCTCTGGAGCCAGGCTGGGAGAGCTGGGGGGGTTCACCTGGAGCAGAGAAGGCTCCAGGGAGACCTGAGAACCCCTTGCAGGGCCTAAACGGGCTCCAGGAGAGCTGGAGAGGGACTGGGGACAAGGGATGGAGGGACAGAACAATGGGAATGGCTTCCCAGTGCCAGAGGGCAGGGATAGATGGGATATTGGGAAGAAATTCTTCCCTGTGAGGGTTGTGAGGCCCTGGCACAGGTTGCCCAGAGAAGCTGTGGCTGCCCCATCCCTGGAAGTGTCCAAGGCCAGGTTGGACAGGGCTTGGAGCAACCTAGGCTAGTGGAAGGTGTCCCTGCCCATGGCAGGGGGTGGAATGAGATGATCTTTAAGGTCCCTTCCAACCCAAACCATTGCATGATTCCATGGTCTCTTCCTTTGGTTGGTGGATCCCACTTGGGAGGTCCAATAGGAGACAGGTGGTGGCTTCAGCTGAAGGATGGAAACAATCCAGTGCAAAAAGGGAAGGGTTAAATCAAACTGGTTCCTTTTTATGCCTTTTGGGGAACTATCAAAAGAAGCTTGTGTCTCAGGAAGCTGGAGGGATGAGAGGATGGGTGGGTGTAACTTTGCTACATCCTTCTCCAACTCCCAAGTGAGCAGAAGCAGCTGTCATTGGATGCTGGTGAAAAGGAACAATTACAAGTTGTGAATTAGTAGGAACATTCGATTCCCCGGGAACCGTGGACGTTCACATGGAGTGATTCGGGGCCCTGCTCTCATCTCCCAGCCTTCCCAACTTCCATTTCTCCTGGACAGCGTTCCTTGTTTGTACTGCAATGATGTGGATATGGCTGATCAACAGTGTCAGGGTGTCCCAGGGATCACGAGTGGGAATTTCGCTGTGACGACACGGCTTTGGATTGTGAAATTATGAAATGTCACCAAGACACGGAGCATTGAGTGGAATTCCGTGGATTAAGGAACACGCAGAGGATTGTGGAAGGCTGGTGAAGAAGAGGAGAATCCAGAGCCTTCCCTTCTCACCAGCAGGACAAGGAAACCTCTAGGAATGAACTGCTGGCAGCATGAGTGGTGTGAGGCTGAAGCCTTTGGGGTGGTTGATCGCTGGTCCACCTTCCAGTGTGAGCGGAGGCTGTTTGAGCAGGATGGGCTCATCTTACAGGTCGGGATGATCCATCATTTTGGTGGGAAGGCAGTAGGAGCAACCAGACAGGCACTGAGGAAGGACACAAGGAGGGAGCTGGGCAGCTGTGCCCCAGACGTGTCCTCTGGTACAAGCAGTGCCAGAGAATGGGTGAAAAGCAGGAGAAAGGAAAGGATCTTGCTGGGACTTTAGTGTAGGTGGCACTGCCAAGGCCTGGCTTCAAAAAGGGCCTGTGATGTCCTGATCCTGCACTGGTTGGAGCCCCTTTTGGAGAGAAAATGGACAGAGTGGTGGCTGACAACAGTGTCCTTACTGCCAGCTCTTACTGCAGGATCTCCAGTGTATCCAGACTTGCTGGGGACTGGAAATCTGGGAAATTATCATGTTCTTCTAGTTCTGCTAGAATAGCATTTCTGGTCATTACAAAGGGCACATTTGAGGGTGTCAGAGGGCTAAAAATCAGAAAGATGTACGTAGAAGGCAGCCAGTAATTGTCAAGGTGGCTTCTAGGAATCATGTGGGATTGTTTTGCAGCTCTTTGTTCTCCTGGGTGTTTCTGAAACCCCAAGCCACAGAGGATGTGTCTCCTTGGAGAAGCTTTAAAAGGCCATCCAGACACTTGGCTGTGTTCCCACGGGCCTCACTGAATCGTTTCTTTCCATCTTACCACATCCCCCTGTTTGTTCTGCCGGCTCTGCAGAGTGCTGAGCACCCTGAGATGTGTGATGAGCTCAAACTGAGTGTTGCAGGGTGACACACTGAGCAGGGAGAGGATGGAGGTGACAGAGGACAGTGACCATCACAAGGCAGCTCAAAGCTCTCTCTGAAGGGAGATGCAGAATCACCTGAGATTTTGGAAGAAACCCAAAGGGCTGTGGCAACCCTTGGAGAGGTTGCAGGAGGCAGAGCATGGTTTGGTTTAGCAGCTGTGGGAGAAGAAACTTTGCAGCCTGAGGAGGAAAATGTGGATGTGTGAGAAGTGGTTCTTGCCTAGCAGCTGCTGAACCTCATTTGAGCTCCTCTCATCACCCAGCTGTTGGCTGTTACGTCCTTTTGGGGAGATTTAAAGGTGGTCCACGTCAGAAATTGTGGATCCAGCCTTGCCCAAGTTCAGCCTGGTGTTACCCTGGGAGGGTGGGGACCACAAGGACAGTAAGAGGTGCCACTGCAGCTGGTGTAGGAGTTGTCTGGGAAGGTTTGGAAGAGAAGACCTGACTCACCTGTGTTATGGACTCAAAGTGTCTGTTCCTGTGCGTTCTTTTCCAGAGGGTTCTGGTCCAAGCGACGGGCTCCGCTCCCAAAGGGGCGCAGATGCAGCAGATCTCTGTTCCCAGAGTCCAGCAGGTTCCACAACAGGTAATAAATAAATAAATAAATAAATATCTCTGGGGTGGGACACCACACAGGGACCCCACATCACACATGACATTTGAAACTGTGACCCTGCTAGGAAAACCTTAATTAAAGAGTGTTGTGGGCAGTCAGAGAGCTGGGATCACTCTCCCTCCTCCTTGGCAAAAGAAACTCAAGATATTTAAGGTTTAGAAAGAACCTTTAGGGTAGCAGTTCATGGATTTGAAGATCTGATGGATTTATACACTTGAGGATTTGATGGATGCTCTCAACTGCCATTTTAAAGCGTTTATTAAATCAAAGTTAAATTAAAAACAATCCTACTTGGTGAAGATTTTTTTTTAGAGGTGAAGTGTTCAGGATTTTTTTTTTTTAATTACACAAATAAATTTGCTGACTGCACGTGGTTCCAGAGAAAGGTTCAGTGCCAGAGAGCCGTGCAAATGTTTTTATTTATCTGAACTTTGCCTTTTGCAGCCCTTGTTTCCTAAGAAACCAGGGATATGTGGTGCTGCTCTGTGGGGACAATGAGTCTGATTCCTGATTTTTTTCTTGTAGTGATTTTTTTATTTGGTTGCTCAGTTTCAGAGGGAAACTACATCCCTCCCAGAGCAAAAAAGACGGGGGCTGGGGTGCAGTTGGACACTGCCAGTCCCCTCTGAAGGAAAGGCTGCACTATGATCTCACCCCTATTAGTCAGCACAGAACCAGCCCCAGACACATGTGCAGAGGAAACTCAGCTCCATTGTTTCCACTGTTCATGGAGCAACAACTTATTTATCTATTTTTATTTGGCCTTTGAAAATAAAAACGTCCTTTGGGATTCCTTTGGAGGGGAGAGGTTGGGTGGTTTCTTTTTTTTTTCTTTTAAAAAGAAACCCTAAATGTCAAGGTAAGGTTGACAGTAGCATAAGGAAATCTGCAGTTTCTCCTGCTGTTCCTGAGCAATCCATAACTTTCTGATGCCTGTTTCAGGTGCAGTCTGTGCAGCACGTTTATCCAGCCCAGGTCCAGTATGTGGAAGGAGGAGAAGCTGTTTATACCAATGGAACCATGTAAGAATCTCTCCTTGGCTGTAGCAGAGCCCTGTCCCTTCCCAGCTCCCAGCCCTTCCATCCTCCCAGGCTCCTCCCACCCTGGCATTGCCCAAGGATAAAAGGAGGGAGAGGAGGAACAACCATTTCACGTTATGTTGTGTGTGAGGGTGGTTTTAACCTTCCCCTATCCCAGGTTGCTCCAAGCCCTGTCCAGCCCAACCTTGGACACTTCTGGGATGGGGCAGCCACAGTTTCTCTGGGCAACCTGTGCCAGGGCCTGCCCACCCCTATAGTTTCCTCCTCCTCCTGTCTTCTGTGCCCCATTTTGGGCCTCCTGCCCTCTGGGATGCTCTTGGCCTCCCTCACCCCAGTTCCCTACAAGAGCTGCTGAGCTCCTCGCTCTGCCCTCACTGTGGCTCCAGGGCTGACCAACGATGTCAGGACTGACTTTCATAGAAACATAGAATCATGGAATAACCCATGCTGGAAGAGACCCCCAAGGACCATCCATCCAGTCCAACTCCTGACCCTGCCCAGGACACCCCAACAATCCCCCCCTGTCCCTCAGAGCGTTGTCCAAACGCTCCTGGAGCTCTGGCAGCCTTGGGGCCGTGCCCACTGCCCTGGGGAGCCTGGGCAGTGCCCACCACCCTCTGGGGGAAGAACCTTTCCCTGAGATCCATCCCAACCCCCCTGGCACAGCTCCAGCCCTTCCC